CTCACCCTGCATATGCTGCATCTTATAATTGTTTATATTTTTTAAAAGGGAAATAGGCTGCTTAGAAAAATGTCACTATTGAAACCACGTTTTATAACGGATGGATGGGGACTGTTCTGTTTAGCCAAGAGCAGTTCAGAAACTCCACACTGGTAGGAAATTGGAGCGCTGAAGCCTTAATGGAACCGTGAGCTTTTTACATCGCATCATATTTAATCATTCATCGTGACACACCAGTAGCGATGCTGCTGTCTGGGCCAGGACTCCTCTAAGACCCCATCAAGCAGGGCTTGGTATTTATGCTTCTGGGTTTGTTTTTTAATTTTAAAGATTTTTATTTATTTATTTGTCAGAGAGAGAGCACAAGCTGGGGAGAGAGGTGAAGGGGGAGGGAGAAGCAGACTCCCAGCTGAGCAGGGAGCATGACGTGGGACTCGATCCCAGGACCCTGGGACCATGACCTGAGCAGAAGGCAGACGCTTAACAGACTGAGCCACCCAGGCACCCTGCTTTGTATTTATGTTTAAGCGGATATTGTTCCAGCTTGTTAATTTCCTCCTTCTTCCCTGCTGAAGCTGGCCTATGGAAAGAAAACCCAAGACTGGCTCTCTCCCCCCTTGTCTGTGATAGAAGATTTGGTAAAGTCTCCTTCCCATACCCTGCTTTCCACTTCCAGCCCTGCTTCCCACCTGGGACATGACTTGGATTTGTAGGTGTTCTGATCCAGGGGAGGAGATTTCCTCGTCCAAGTTCATGTCCTTTTAAGAAAGCAATGGTGAATTAATAAGAAATGCTTTATCTTCTAAGACCTCTATGTGACTCTATTCTGGTCCTGCTCTTTGATCCAACCCACTAATCAGTTCATAAAAATTTCACATAAACTGAAATTCATCTCCTAGGCTGGGCTGGGCTCTATCAGATTAATATTTAACTCCAAGGAAGCATGGACACTTGCCTTAAAGAAGTTCTTTATTGTAGGGAAGGATCTACCTTGTTGTCATTATTTGAATGTCATTGACATTTTATTTCAACCTACAACTCCCTGTATTCCTCTGTTGAAAATGGGAAATTCTTATGGAATTTGAATTGTCACTGGTTCAGCATCTAAGGGTTTTTGTATCAGTTTTTTCCTGACAAAAGAAATGTGCGTTTAGGGACGCCTGGGTGGCTCAGTCGGTTAAGCGTCTGCCTTCGGCTCAGGTCATGATCCCAGGGTCCTGGGATCGAGTCCCGCATCGGGCTCCCTGCTCTGCGGGGAGCCTGCTTCTCCCTCTGCTTGTGTCTCTCTCTCTCTCTGTATCTCATGAATAAATAAATAAAATCTTTAAAAAAAATGTGCGTTTATTATGGAAATAAGGATCATTAGAAAAATTCAAAGAAAATAAAAATTCCCTGTTTCATCAACATTCTATGATAACAACTAACACTTGAAATGTTTTTCATTTTTGAAAATATCTGAACACTTATGTGCATATTTTTTTAAATTTGGGATCGTGTGGTACATATTGTCAGATTTTTTTCACGGACTAGAGCATACACAGCTTCTATATGATTACATTTGTATATGCAACATACTTTTCAGTGGCCGCACTGAATTTCATTATGCAGACACCCAACTCCTGATTGTTTAATTATACAAATACAACCAACACCCTATTTTTTAAATTTTTTATTTTATTTATTTATTTTTGAGAGAGAGAGCACAAATGGGAGAGAGGGGCAGAGAGAGAGGAAGAGAGAATTCCAAACAGACTCCACACCCAGCGCGGAGCCCAACACGGGGCTTGATCTCATGACCCTGAGATCATGACCTGAGCTGAAATCAAGAGTCAGACACTCAACTGACTGAGCCACCCAGGGACCCCACCAACACTCTGTTTTTTAACTCTAACATGGTTTCCAGTTTTTACCCCATTATAGATAACTGAGCACACTTGATTTTTCTTTTTAAAAATCTTGAAAGAAGGAAACATTCTGCCAATTCTCAAGACATCCGTAGCTTCTTGGCTTCTTTCTGTGTGTGTGTGTGTGTGTGTTTTTAATTGGACTTAGTTGAGCTCTCCAATTTGCCATGAAGAATGTCTAGGCTATTTCTTGTGGATATAAACAAAAGAGATCCCAAGGAGGATGACACCAGATTAGAGAGAGTAGCACTCGCCCATTTAGAGCTGGCCAAGAATAGTTTTCATGGAAGAAGGGCTGCAGAGGACCAAATGACCTCCCCCAGAAGGTTCCGTTTAAACTCTAAGTCTGGGGTGCCTGGGTGGCTCAGATGGTTAAGCATCTGCCTTCGGCTCAGGTCATGATCTCAGGGTCCTGGGATCGAGTCCCGCATCGGGTTCCCTGCTCAGTGCAGAGCCTGCTTCTCCCTCTCCCTCTGCCACTCCCTCTGCTTGTGCTCTTCTGTCTATCTCTCTGTCAAATAAATAAATAAAATCTTTAAAAAAAAATAAAAAATAAACTCTAAGTCTTGGGGAGCTTAGGTGGCTCAGTCAGTTGAGCATCCAACTCTTGATTTGGGCTCAGGTCATGACCTCAGGGTGGTGGGATCAAGCCCTGCTTTGGACAAGGAGCTCAGCAAGGAGTTTGTTGGAGATTCTTTCTCTCCCTCTCTCTCTGCCCCTCCCCCCACTCGCTCGCTTGCTCTCAAATGAATAAGTAAATCTTTTAAAAATAAATAAAATAGGGGCAGCTGGGTGGCTCAGTCGGTTAAGCATCTGCCTTCGGCTCAGGTCATGATCCCAGGGTCCTGGGATTGAGCCCCACGTCGGGCTCCCTGCTCAGCGGGCAGCCTTCCTCTCCCTCTCTCTCTCTCCATCTGCCCCTCCCCACCGCTCGCTCTCTCTCTGACAAATAAACAAAATCTTCAAAAATAACAATAAAATAAATAAAAATAAAAACAAATAAATAAAACTCTAAGTCTCATGGTCACTGCCTGTTCTTTGGAACACTGCCCCTCCTATTTGTTGGTTCGTTACTATGACCGTTCTCCAATCCTTGTTGCATACTGGAATCACTTGGGAAAGAGGGGTTTTAAATATACATATTTGCCAGATCTACCCCAGTTGGACTTGGGGTGGAGCCCAGACATTGGAATTTTGTTTTTATCTCTCTAGATGATTCCAACTTGCAGCCAGGACTGAGAGCCTCAGCTTTTATGGCGTTTTACTCCTCCAGTGGGGCTGGAGGTGCTGCCCTTGGTGCTGAATCTCTTTAGGCCACAGGCTACTCTCAGGGAGTCGCCACTTCCCACTTTGCTCTGCCAAAGTCATAAGCAGCTGTTTCAGAAATGCTGATGCACAGAGGAAACAGTATCCCAGCTCACTCCTAGTGATTAGGGTGGAAAGATCAGCATTTCACTACAGCTGCATCCACCTCCCTAGACAGCCAATTAGCCACAGAAACGGCAGACACTGCCTAAAGGAGCTCTTTCAGGGCTGAGCTTCTAATGCCCAGAGCACATTAGGTAGCTAAACAATACTATATTCACATCAGGCAAGACCATCTTGCTTTGGGTTGTAGTATTTGCTTCCTGGAGAAAGGGGGCCTCACCTTAGAGGTGGAACTTGGTAGCACCTGGATAGATGGGGAAGAGGGAGGGGCGTGCCTTGCATTGTGGGGACATGGCCGGCTGTGAAGGAGGGAACGTTAGACCCAGAGTCGGAAGATGTGGGTTTGAATCTCCTCTCTACTTTTGTCTAGCAGCAGGACCTTGCTAACGGTCAATTCCTTCTCTACAAAACAACAATAAAGATGGGCGCCATAATTGTGCGCTAATTATGTTGTCAGAGTTATGGGAGGTAACGTTCATAAGCATATCAACAAATCCAGGGGTGCAGGGCTGACCTGACAGAAGAGAGATTTTTGAGTTTGTACTAATGGTCAGAAACCAGGCCTCTTATGCTTCTTCAGTCCCCACTCTTGCTGATGTGGGGGAGGAGAGAATACGCAGGGGGTGGCGGCAGCGATCTTCAACAATAGTAAGAGCAGCTAAGGGGGAGAAATGTGAGATCCATTCTGTGTGGTGGCAGGGGAGAGACAGTTGGAGGCCAGCAATCAGTAGTTTAACAAGTCCTCCAGGTGAGTCTAACACACACAAATAGCTGAGATCCATTGCCCTGGAGCATTTCTTTGTATGGATACCCACATTCTGTTTAACCATCCTACTGTAGATAGATAATTGTTAGTCTGGAACTATTACAAAATGGGCTGGTCTGAACATCGTTGAACATAGGTTTTGGGACACATATGTACACTTTTCTGGTTATATATACCTAGGAATAAGGTTGTTGGATTATAAGTTTATAAGTATATTTAGAATACTTAGCTTTAGGATATACCGTCACAGGTTTCCAAAGTGATCATACCGGGCTTCCATCCCCACCAACGATGCATGAATATTCCAGTTTCCACATCCTCACCAACACTTGGCTTTGTCAGTCTGAATTTGCATATGATCCAGCAACTCCATTTCTTGGTATATGTCCCCAAAGAATTGAAATCAGGGTCTCTAAGAGTTATGCATACATTGATGTTCATAGCATTATTCACAAGAAGCAAAAGGTGGAAGAAACCCAAGTATCTATTGATGGATGAATGGATCAACAAAATGCATTATGCATGTCCAGTGGAATATTATTTAGCCCTAAAAAGGAAGCAAATCCTAACACATTCCACAACATGGATGAACCTTGAGAACATTAGGCTGAGAGAAGCCAGTGACAAAAAGACAAATACTGTATGATTCCACATATTATATGAGGCACCTAGAGCAGTCAAATTCTTAGAGACAGAAAATAGAATAGAAAATAAGTGGTTGCCAGAGGACTCGGGGAGGCGGAGGCGGCAACGTGGAGTTAGTGTTTAATGGGTGCAGAGTTTTAGTTTTGCAAGATGAAAGGAGTGCTGGAGATGGGGGGTGGTGGTGGTTGCCAAGAGGTGAATGTATTTAACACTACTTACTGAACCGTACACGTAAAAATGAGTAAGATGGAAGATGGGTGCTTGCTTTGGCAGCGCATAGACTAAAATTGGAATAAGGGAAGATTGGCATGTCGCTGGTGCAAAGATGACATGAAAATTCATGAAGCGTTTCATTTTTTCAAATGAGTAAGATGGTAAATTTGATGTTACATGTATTTTACCACAATTAAAAATGAAGAATAAACACTGTGGGCTTAAAACTGAAGAGAGATTCTCTGCTGTCAGGGTCAAAGCCAAAGATGTCATTTTCATTCTGCAGTGCTCCTGGCTGTGTGTAATCACAGTAACTTGGACATTTATAAACCTTTGTGTTCTCATCTGTAAAATGGGAAAACGAATTCCCCTTTAAAAGAGGTTGTCATGGGGATCAAATGAGTATATAGGAAAGTAAGTAATACATAGTAGATGTTCAGTAAGTGTTAGTTGAATGTGATTTGTTCATCTAAAATAGAGCTTCTGGGAGTGGAATTGAGGATCTTATGATTTGGTAATTGGCATTAAGAAGGAGACTGAAGTTGTTTTTTTTTAAGATTTTATTTATTTATTTGTCAGAGAGAGAGCACAAGCAGGGGGAGTGGCAGGCAGAGGGAGAAGCAGGTTCCCCGCTGAGCAAGGAGCCCAATGTGGGACTCGATCCCAGGACCCTGGGATCATGACCTGAGCCGAAGGCAGATGCTTAATCCACTGAGCCACCCAGGCATCCCCAGGAGACTGAATTTTTTAGTGAAAATGAAAATCTGCAGTTTGCTATTTAACTCATCTGTGTGCTCTACTAACCATCTGTAAAGGGGGTGACTTCTTCATGTCTCTTCTCTCCAAACACATGCCCATGTCCCCAGATGGAGGGTTTTCTTAATTTCTGCCTCACTGAATTCCTACTTTGAGACAGGAGAAGGCTCAAGGGAGGTGGTTTTCCTTCCCTGCAGGACCAAATATCCTCCTGAGAATGAGCCTCCAGGGCTCAGCTTCCCCCAAACATAAGCCCCACCTCCCTGCACCCCTGATCTGCCCTGGGAGATTCCCCTGAGCCAACGGAGGCATCCTGGGGCAGAGGGCTCTCGGGACTGCAGCTGCTGGGGCATGAGTTTTTCAGGGAGGCTCCTCTGGCAGGCAGGACTTTGCCCTTGACGTGGGTGGGCCAATCAGAGCTGCCACCGGGGCCAGAAGTGGGCTGGAGGAAACTTTTAAGAACAGATTCCCCAGAAACCCCAGAAACATGAGCAGCAATCCAGAGTTGAAAACTCTAAGGCCTCTCATTAAAATGATGCTTTGGCTTGTGAAGTTCTCGTATTCTGGTTTCATAAGAGCTGATGGCTGTAAGTGATCAGAAAGAAGACTGAGAGCCTCAGAGGAGGCAGCTGGGAAAGAGCCTGGATTTGGGGAACAGAAAGACTTATGCTGGATTTTAAACTACAAACTGTCAGGAGCTGTTGTGTTGGATCACACTTGTGAACTGTTGCTGGTGGGAGACAGCAGGTGCAACAGTCGTCTCAAAACCTGCTCTGAGATACTTTTTGGTTTCGAAAGAGCAAAGATCCAGAGAGGTGGGGAAATTTATTTTTAATTAGCAAGTGCAATTGACAGATTTCATTTGAAGTGAACTATTACAATTGGTGAACTTCTACCCTCTCTTGCCTACTACCATCTCCTGTGGGTGATCACAACTGAGTGAAAACCTATACATTGCCCTGCATTCATTCATTTGTCGGATATGCAATAAAGCACCTCCTCTGTGCCCAGCCTTTTCCTGGGCCCTGGGCATTAACTGGGTAAAAAAGAGACTGAAGACAGATTTTTGGGCTTCTGTATAACTCAACTTATATACACTGCATACACACAGCCAACCAAACAAAAACCCGGCAGCAAATGCTTTGAAGAAAGGAAGAAACGGGGCGCCTGGGTGGCTCAGTCGTTAAGCGTCTGCCTTCGGCTCAGGTCATGAT